AACCTGACTCCATACACATTCGATATCTGCTCGATGCAAGAACTCCCCATCCCTTGACCCCTGCCGCCACTCCCATCATTCTTCTGCATTCTCCCCTCCCTTCCTCCCACTTCCCCCCCGCCCCCCCGCCCCCCCTCCCCAAACTGAGAAACCAACTTACTGCTTCCCCCCCCCCTCCTCCAACGAGCTCCTCTCCTCTCCCTTCCCCTGCTCACTTGGTTGATCGGTACTTCTCAGCAGCGTACACAGCATCGGAGCCTATCGAGACTTTGTCGGCCCCCGACCTGCAAGGCAACCCGGTCGATGATGAGGCGACAATGACAGGGAAGACGGGAAGGGAATACGACAAGAGGAGGAGAGGCAGGAGCGAGAGGTAGGGGGATGGTGAGGAGAGGAGAAGAGGAGGGAGAGGAAGGAGGCGAGGAGGGAGGAAGAGGGTCATAGATACTGTACCTGAAGTAGGAGGTCGCAACATCCAGCGCTGAGTGAAAGACTCCCTTGCTGAAATGGGCGCAAGTTAATGATTCCTGCTGCTGCTACCGCTCCTCCTCCTCGTACTATTCCTGCTCCTGCTCCTGCTCCTGCTCCTGCTCCTGCTCCTGCTCCTGCTCCTGCTCCTGCTCCTGCTCCTGCTCCTGCTCCTCCTCTTCGTCCTCTTGCTTCTGCTACTGCTTCCCATCCCTTCCTCCCTGTCCTGTTGTTCTGTTCTCGTTCTCACTTGCTTCCTCTGCCACCCCTGCCCCAGCCCCCTTGTTTCCTATCCCTCAATGTTCCCATTCTCTGATCATTCCTGCATCCTCTACCTGTCTGTGTAGTCTCTGATGCCTCCTCCTATACAGAGAGGAACGAACACCTGCATCGAAGGTCAAGGGGCGAGAATTACGATGATGATGATGATGATGATGATGATGATGACGACGACGACGACGACGACGATGATGACGATGATGATGATGATGACGACGACGATGATGATGATGACGATGATGATGATGATGAAGAAGATAATGATGACGATGATGATGACGATGACGACGACGATGATGATGAATCTCACATGCTCAGATGTAAGCTCAAGGACGCGAAGCATCGGGGCATCGACGACATCCCCGCGGAAGCTGCAGAGTGGCCAAGGAAGGAAGTTGAGGAGGTGGACGAAGCGCAGACAGAGAACGACAGAGAGGAGGGAGAGAAGGAGGAGGAAGGGGGGGTGGCGCGAGCGGAGGAGGAGGAGCATCAGCTTGTCAGCGAGGTAACGTGACTCGAGCTAGTCAACCTTGTGATGTTGAGGAAGGTGACCTCGTCAGCCCCATCGTCGGAATATCTCCTTGCCAACTGAAATCGTCCTCCCGTTACTCCCTCACCTCCTCCTTTCCCCTCCTCTGCCACGTTCTCCTCCCCACTCCGTTCCCCCCTGCTCCACTTCTCCCCTTCCTGCTCCTTATCGTCCTTTCTTTTCCCCATTCCTCCCCCCTCTCGATCATCCTCGGCATGCACCTCGACAGGCTTTCCCAAGTTTCGAACTTCACCTCCCTCCTCCTTTTCCCTCACGTCGTACTGTAGCAAACGTAAGTGCCTTGACCTCCTCCTCCTCCTCCTCCTCCTGCTCCTGCTCCTCTCCCTCCTCTTCTCTCTCACCTGATCGCCCTTGGTGACGACAAGATCCCCCGAGTCATTCTCACGCACATCCAGACAGGCTGATAGACCAAGTCACTGAGGAGAGACGAAATATGTGTTGAGAGGACATGGGGGCAAGGGAGGACAAAAGAGAGGGGAAGAGGAGAGGAGAGGAGAGGAGGAGGAGGAGGAGGAGGAGGAGGAGGAGGAGGAGGAGGAACAGAAAGTTCAAGAGGGAGTGAAAGAAGAGAAGGGGGGAATCACCAATGATTCGCTTCGCGAGCATCGTTCTTCCTTCGCATGAGATTGGAGGGCAGGCAGGAACGTCAGCCTGCAGCAGGCAATGATTTGATGGCGAAAGCGAGCAGGACGAGGACGAGGAGCAGCGAGAAGGGAGAAAGACGACGAGGAGAAGCAGTGAGAAGGGAGAAAGACGAGGAGGAGAAGGTGGAGTGTCAGGTGCTGGTGGTTGAGGAGGTGGAGGGAGGGAGGAGGCAGAAGGTGAAGGCAGGATGAGAAGAAGGAGAGAAAGTTGAAATTGACGAGAATGATGACAGTGATTCAGGAGAAAACAATCGCTAGAGAGTGGAAGGATGGGAGGAGGGCGAACCAATGTAGCCTGATCCAGAAATGATTTGATCAACTTCAGCCCGTTGGCTCCACCTGCAAGAAGAATGTCACGGGAATGAAAGAAAAGTTGCCCCCTCCTCCTCCTCCTCCTCCATCTCCTCCTCCTCCTTCTCCTCCTTCTCCTCCTCCTCCATCTCCTCCTCCTCCTCCTCCTCACTCTTTTCGGGGTGGAACTGAGATGCGGACACTCTTCCGTTCTGCAGCGAGGAGATGAAGGTGTTGCTGTCACTGCAGAACAGGAAGGAGGGTGAGATGGAAAGTCTCTCAGCATCGAGCATGTCTCTTACTTCCCATAGTCTGTCACGCTCAAGACCCAGTCTGCGTTCTCGGGAGTGCGGATGGCACGAAAGCTGCCAATCGAGATTCAAAGACCTCCCTCCCTCCCTGCCTCCGCCTCCTCTCTCTTCCTCCTCTCAGCCTCGCTGTTCTTCTCAAATTCTTCTCTCCTTTTTCTCCCATCCTCCATTATTCTTCCTCTCTTCCTCTTACGAATGAACGAAGTAGAATCTATCTTCCAGCGGCTTGATGTCTTTCATCATCGGAGCATCTTTCAGAATCCTCAGGCTGTTCCACCCCTGCCAAGCCTCTCCATCAGTGACCTCTTTTCTCTCTCCTCCTCCTCCTCCTCCCCCTTTCTTCTTCCCTTGCCTCGCCTCCTCCCGCTTTGCCTTGCCACCCGCCCCCCTCCTTCTCTCCCCCCCCGCTTCTCCTCTCTTCCTGTTCTAGCACCATGTGAGGGACGCTGACGGAGGTGTCGCTGAACTTGCCAACGATGCCGGGAACGATCCCGAGCCCTGCATGGCGTGACGAGAAGCTCAAGAGGAGCAAGGGGAAGTTCTGACCTGCCAATCCAGGCGTCTCCTCCGATCCTTCAAACAGGGACTGAAAAGAATGATCCATGAGAAGACAACAGCATCGAGAAACAAGAGCAGGAGCAGGAGCAGGAGCAGGAGCAGGAGCAGGAGCAGACGAGGGAACACATCAGTGGATTGTATTGGTAGGCTGACCTGCATTCCTAGACAAATTCCGTAGAATGCACGGCCGGACTTGAGGTATGCCCTGCAGGGAAAAGAGAGATCACAAGGCAAACAAGGCTACAGGGAGGAGGAGGAGGAGGAGGAGGAGGAGGAGGAGGAGGGCAGCATCTCACTTGAGAGGTTCGAAGAAGCCCTTCTTATGAAGGTTGTCGATGCAGACCCCGAAGCTTCCGACGCCTGAGAAAACAGTCAACGGAGGGGTAAAGCACGTTTCGATGAGAGGATGGTTATGAAATGGTTGCCTTAGGATCGGCAGCGGATGAAGAGATTTTTTCTTCCTCGTTGTACTCCTCCACCCTTCCCCTTCCTCCTCCACAAAGATTTCGCACAAAGGTTGGCCGGGTCTCACCAGGGAAGATGAGGATGTGTGCTTGACTGATGTCGTCTGCTGTCTTCACATCCTCGATATCGCATCCTGCCCTCACCAGCGCATTCCGCAGTGACCGGATGTTCCCAGCGCCATAGTCCAGCAGCGATACCCTCACCATTGCCGCACGTTCAGTCTCCTTCAAGGGGACGGTTCCTTAAAGAGGCTTAAGGCGGTTCCTTGTATTTTGATCTGATCTAATTTCAAATTATTATGGTTTATTTTAGAATCTTGACGATAAAGTTTCAAAAGTGTATGAAACCATGAGCGTTTCCTTGTGAACCCCCCCCCCCCCCCCTCTCCACCGTCATCATGTCTCCGAACTTGCGAGCGATGATGGGGAGAGCAGCGAAGAAGGCGAGCATGTTGGGGTCTTCCATGCTGATCCCTCCCCATGCTCAGCTACGTAACCCGGGATACAGCTTCATGCCCGCAATGGGGATGGCTGGCCATTCAAAGTGGCACAACATCCGGCATAAGAAGGGGGCGGAGGACGCGAAGAAATCGATCCTTTACACAAGAATCTCGTGAGTTGACGAGTGTTATGGTTGGTTGCCTTTGAGATGTGTTGAACTATCACTCCCTGGAATTATCCACAAATGCTCGCAACCCCGACATGATCTGAAATGGCCTCTGGAGGCAAGAGCAGACCCCACGACTCTGACGAGCTTGGTTCCCAGGTCTCAGATTCGCAACGCCCTGGACCATGGAGGGAACGTACCAACGAACCTGCACCTCCAGAACGTCCTGAAGAAAGCGAAAGACCTCAAGGTCCCCAAGGAGATCATCGAACGATCGATCGAGAAGGCTATGCAGGCTAAGTCAGGTGGTGTGGCCGTGTATGAGGGGGTGGGCCCATCAGGCGTCTCTTTCATGGTCCAATGCATCACAGACAACCGCGCAAGGACATTCAGCCACCTCAAACATCTGTTCTCCAAGCACGGGGGGAACTTGGCGGGCTCCGTTGCGTATAAGTTCAAGAAAGTCGGAGCGATTGAATTCCACAACATCTCCAAGGAGCAGGAAGAGGACTTCATGGACAAGGCGATTTCGCTGGGAGCTGAAGAGATTGAAGGAGAAAACGGTGAATTCTCGATTGAATGCGCTCCTGACAGTTTGGGAACCGTTGTGAAGGGTCTGGAGGAATTAGGATACAGCTGTGAATCGTCACAACTTGCTTTCGTCGCAACAACTCCGATTGAAGTATCCGAAGATGCTAGGGATGCGATAAGCTCTTTCGTCGAGGACCTCGAGGGCGATGGAGATGTAGAGGCGGTATATCACGATGCAGTGTAGTTACCAGATATACTGCTGAGACACGTACGCTTCCAAATGCGCTCCATTACACTTCAATTGAACAATAAAGAACTCTTTTGACGTTCCAGTTAGTCTGACGTACGAATTCAGTGTTCTTCTCTTTCAATGGACTTTCGATCTCGATCTCCTTGTCTGTGACGTAGATGATCACAAAATGTCTCTTTGGCTTTTCTAAACATTGAAGTTTTGATCCATAGGCAAGTTACACAAGTGTTCAAAGAATACTCTTTTATTAATCGCCGTACACAGTTTACTCGTAGAGGGACTTGGTGTAGGTGGCGGTGGCAGCAACGTAGGCATCACGAGCAGCCTTGTAGGGGCCGGTGGCGAGCTTGAGCTCGTTGGCAGCCTTCAAGTAGGCATCGCGGGTGGCGCGGTAGGTGGTGGCGTAATCCTCGAGGTCAAAGAGAAGGGCGAACATTGCTGAAGAATTCAGTCAGATTTATACCATGAGTGAACAAGAAACTGAGGAGGAAGGGACCAATGCCAAAATCAAGAGAGAACCATCGATCACAAGACATTCCAGAAGGAAGATATAGATGTAGAACACATTTCACAGGGGAATCAACGATCTTGCGATCGTAGTTTTGGACATCTGATCACAAAAGAGGAAGAACATGTTTGTTTCATGGTCTACCTGCTTGTGTTGTCTGTTCCCTCTCCTCTGCCTTTTGAATAGCCAACTCCTACCCTACCCCTTTCAACACTGTACCCTCCCCACCCCCCATTTCACATTTAGCACCCGACGTCAATTCCCAGCCAATCTGGTCAAAAAGGGGGTACAAGCATGAATTCTTTAACCGGTACCCCCGCATTCCTGACCCTACCTACAATTCCCAATAAGGTAGCCCACCAGGGAAAAGAGCTGCATTTGCAGATGCAAGGACGGGTCCAGCACTCCCTGCTATTTCGGGTGAAAAGGGTTGAGTAAATCATTAGTCAACACAGGGCAGCCCCACATAAAAGCGGCGCTGAGGGCGAGGGTTCGCATAGCCAGCAAGGTAGGCCAACAAATGCTCACCATGCGAGATGTGCAAGGATGTTGCTGTACATGTCGCTTTCGTTTACGATCCTAGTCCTTTTGTCATCTTCCCTCTGTGTGACAAGTTCATCTCCTCTCAAATTTTCATTGATGTTCCTTCTTCTTGCCTCTTTGTCGTTTCGCAAGAGTTGCGAGATGTATACATGATAACACATCTGATTAAGACTTGACATTGTTCTTGCAGAATGTTCGCCCTTCTCTTTGACCTCGAGGATTACGCCACCACCTACCGCGCCACCCGCGATGCCTACTTGAAGGCTGCCAACGAGCTCAAGCTCGCCACTGGCCCCTACAAGGCTGCTCGTGATGCCTACGTTGCTGCCACCGCAACTTACACCAAGTCCCTCTACGAGTAAACTTGTACATAATAAATTCTCATCAAAGCAATTTTTCTCAATTCTCGCGATTGTCTTCTATTGTGGAATTTTCGAGCTTTGATTATCAACTATGTAAGCAACTTTGAATCTGGTGGATTGAAAGGGTTGTAGCAATGTGCCTTCGATGTTTGCACTAGGTTGCATTTTACTCTTTCAATGTCATGCCAAAGTCTATGGTGTCCTGCTCCCATGACCCATTCGGAACACTCGTTTCAAACTGAGATCAACATTCCAGAGGTTCTTGAATGTACAAAATGCAAGTACAATTATGCAAATACAACATGAGTGCGTGCGCTGGAGAGTTATGACAGCAACAAGATGTGGAGGCAAATGAATTTTATCAATTGATCATAGATTAAGTTGAGCTCTGTAATTTGCTCCACCTGACATGAGTTACAAATTTCATTTTGCAGATTTGATTTGACATCTATCATTTACATCGGGAAAACATCCTCCCCCTCTTCCTGCTCCTCTTCCCCCGCCTCCTGCTCCTCCTCTGCTCTTCCATCGTTCTCTCATTCTACTTCTCCTCCATACCTCTTTTACGGTACATGGAGCCAGAATACATGTCGTCAGAGCGGTAATGCTATACATCGATACAGGTCTCTAATTGAAATACTAAGTGATCTAAAGCAGTATCTGGGAACTTTGCCTCGCACCCTAACTGTGTTTTTGCTTGTTCTCTGGAGTATTTGTCCTTCTCATTTTCCATCTGCGATCTGAATGGATGATACACCGATGATAGTTTGACTGTGTCTGATTTTGTGGAATAAAAGCCACCCATTCGTCTCTGATCTTGTCTGCCCATCACAGCATGACTGTGTTATTGACATAATGCAGTTTGTGTAGAAAGTGAAAGAAGTCTGTATGCTTCCCCTCCTTTGACATGATCGTTCCTCATCTGATCCTCCCTGCCTCCCTCTCCATGTGATTGTCATTTCCATGCCATGGCTTCTTCTCTTCTCTCTGCATGCTCATCACTTGATCTCGCTTCCTATTCGCATCCTTGCCAAATCTCAGCAGCTCCTTCCTCTCCTTCCTCTCCTTCCTCTCCTTCCTCGCATCCCAGCATCGTCAGACTTCTCATCTTCGGCCAGGTTCACCAGCAGGTTCACCCCTTGTTGGAGCGAGCTCTTCCAATTGAATTTTCAAACATACAACGATTCAGAAAAATGCGGACTGAATGAGGGCTTGAAGGTGGGGTGGGGTAGGGTCATGGTCGGGATGGTGGATGATCGGAACCCCGGGGTGGTAGCTACGAGAGCACTCCATGAATGGGTGGGGGTGATATCACTAAAAGGGGTAGGGGCCCTGCAGGCAAATAATATGATAGGGTAGGGTGTCCAAATACATACGACCGGTGAAGAGGCGAACAGGCATTGTGACCCTGTAGTATTACAGCAATATTGAGTAAATCAGGGGGTGGGGTCTATGATGTAGCGGCAGCTGTAGAGGGTCTTTCGATCTCGAGAGGGTTTTGGAGGTTGATTGGGGTAGGGGGTTCGTCCCGAAAGTTGAATAGAATCCCACTAGGGGTGGTAGCTTGGGCAGATAGCGGTGTAGGAAGGTGGGGTGGGTGGGAATGGGTAGACCTCTAGAGGCCGGTGCCATGATAACATTCAACCCCCTGAATCGGGACAAAAGGGGGGTAGGTGTGATACGTATAGTAGGGTCTAATCTCATAGGGATTTGGGATAATGTGGGGGTAGGGGTGGAATGAGAGGTGGTAGTGGTGGTCTGTTTGGCCGGAAAGCTGTTTGAGATGGGAGGAAGGAAACGAAGGGAGAAGAGAGGAATGGAAGAAGAATGCAAGCGAGCAGGGAAGAGAGACACAAGGATATGACGCCCCCTCATGATATTTGAAAAGGAACGTGTCAAAACAGACAAGATAGGGAATCGGCAACATCGTAAGCTGTTCAGAACTTAAGGTGAAAAATGCTTAGACGAGGCTGAATGTGAAAGCTAGAAAGAGGAGGCGGAACCCGGGCATTAATGCTCTGTGAGAAAATAGATATAAAACAATGTGTAGAGATAGAGAGGATCAGTTCCACCATGGCGAATGTTTGGCTAACCGGCTGTTAGGCTGTCAGAGAGTTGTGAAATGCGTGTCAAGGCTATGCTACATAGTGGACGAGATAGGAGCTAGCAGAGTCGATGTAGTGGAGGTGTCATGAGCCTGAGAGGATGCGATAACTGAGGGTGAGAGTGTGATGGGAAACAAGGGGCTACATCGCGGTGATCATGCAGGGAGCTTTGCCTCGATGTGGAATGACATGGGTGTCACAGATGAGGTTTCGCAAGCCCTGTCCTTCTCCAGCAATCCGGCGCATGCCGAGACGGCAAGCTGACTAGGAATTATAGGAAGCGCATGATCTTTGGTTGATGCTCAGCAACAAGCAGCCCACAACACACATCGCGAAGGTTATGCTTACAATCAACACTCATGAAAGTTCCATGCCTAACGGCGAGAGGCTGGCCCAAGTTTGAAAACATCGTCGTCCTTGCGTTTGCTTTTGAAGGAACTCACAGCCAGTGAGGCATGGAAACCTCTTACTCTGCTGATATCTTCTCTCCGCAACGGATCACCAGATCGTTCGAATCCATCAACCTGGACCATCCCTCGGAGCAGTATGGTGGCTCTTCATCCAGCAGGCAGCATGTGACCCCGCACCGATCGTCATTCCGTGGACCGACATGCTTCCAACAATCTTCCAACCATCACGCCAGCCCTCCTCAGAACTCTGATGCAGAGGGCCGTGGAGAGAACTACCAACGATTCTCCTACGTCGCCTTCGCATCCCCCTCACACCCCACTGCTCATTCCGAAGGGAGGAGCAGGAGGGACCAACCCGGTGACGCGGACATCACTTTGCGTACATCGTCCAGCGTCGCACGACCACAACACGAGAATGATCAGGTAGTTCTGGCGTTGTTATTCAGGGTGTTGCTGTTCAAAAGCTGATGTCTGTCAAACAGCCAAGTCGACAGCACATAGCGAACCTGCACCAACCGATGCATCAGGTGGGACTCACGTGCTTGGCTCGGAGAAGTTGCTGACCGGAAGATAAAGCCTCCGAGAGTGCGAACTCGAGACGTGCTAATGCAAAACCTCGACGAGTCTTTCAAGGTGAGATCTCAGTTGGCGAGCGTTCGAATGTGTCAAGATGGCAGCCAGGGTGCATTGCTGTTAGTCTTGGTCCTTGTCCTTGTCCTTGTCCTTGTCCTTGTCCTTGTCCTTGTCCTTGTCCTTGTCCTTGTCCTTGTCCTTGTCCTTGTCCTCTCTGTCCATTTGCTGTCCTGCCGTGTCTTCTTTGTTTGTGACAATCAGCCTTCCAGAACGTTGGCAACATCGCACAAGGGCTGGTCGACTTCTTGTCGGTGGGGTTGCTCTCGCCTCCCGAGAAGATCGAGAGGTGCATTCTTGCCCTCGGCCTTGTGCTCTACGGGCAGGGTCACCCTGTGCTGCAGGAGACATGCACACGGATCTATCCGGCAGGAGGTCGTTGACTCTCCCTCCTCCCCCTGCGTCGTTCCGAACTTTGACGAACTGATACAAGAAGACGCCCCTCAAGGTCCTGTCATTCCCTCTCCTGCTGTGCAAGCTGCTCTTACCATGTCTCAGGGTACAACCCACAACGGAACTCAAATCCAGAGTGATACCCTGCCGTTGTACTTGTCTCTTGCCTAAGTTTCTTCTCTCCAGTCGATCTCCTCAATCTCCGCCCTTGTCCAACTCCCTATGGCTCACAGCCCCAATCTCGCGCGGAAGGTATCCATGGCGCTTCTTTCCCTCCGCCTGCTGCGCTTGTCCGACCTCTTCATCCTGCCTCTTCCTCCTCACCTCTCCCAGCCACTCGTGTACGGCTCCTCAAGCATTTTTCAGGATTTTGGAGCCCAAAGTCGATCTCGTGCTGCGAACGAGCCCGACGAATCAGCGCCTGCAGCATCAGCACAGCTTCAGGGAGAGGCTGCAAGTCACCTCCACCCTCAAGGACAAGGTCTACCACCTGAGGAAGGTAAGCCGGTTCTCTCCTTTCCTCCTGCATGCTCTTGACTGCCCCTCCCGCTCCTCCAGTCCCTTTCGAACAGCGCTCAGTACGCAGTGGATCAGTGCGAGACAGATTTCGAAGACATGGTCGTCAAGGTAGAGGTGCCGTCAAGCTTCCCTCCTGGGTTCACATCCGCCTTCGCCAGGTCCGGAGAGGAGCTCACATCGTCGACGACACGTTGGAGGCCATGGGCAACTGGAATGTTGCTCGCTGGAGACAGGCATGAAGCGTATGCTCGCTCGGCTCTCGTGATGCTTGTGATCAGGGAGTGATTGTTCACTTCGAGGGGGAGGTGGGGATAGACTGCGGCGCGCTTACAAGGTTTACTACGTGTTGTTCACCTCGTTCTTTGAGATGTGCAATCCCCTTGGAAACTTTTTTGTTGTCTCTCCTCCTTCCTCCTTTCTCCCGGCTCCTCGCTCCTATCATCTTGTATCTCTTCATTTCCCCATCTCTTTCTTTCCCAATCTGACTTTCCTCATCTCTCGTCCCTCAGGGAATGGGCGAAGCTTCTCTGCCAACAGCTGCTCCGTCCTGGTCGCGGTCTCTTCCGCAGGACCACCAAGGTCAGACGCGATGCTTCTCGGCCTGCCGCTCAACTTGCGCAGGGAAACCGCGTGATGCTGCTGGCGGATGAAGAGTCTGAGTTGGCGCATGGAGAGAGGTGAAGGACAGGAAGATCAGGAGGGGGCTGACATAGAGGGCAGCATGGAGGGGATGTACGAGTTTGTCGGAAGGTTCATTGGTAAGCTCCAAGTGTCTCGCAGTGGGTCCAGGTTGACTCCAACTCAGGCTACTCGTTGTGGCGGGGCATCCGTATCGACGCTGTCTTTATCCCCCTAATGTTCCGCATGATGAAGGACTCCGAATGTCAGTTGCGAACTGTTTCTTGTGCCCGCTCCTGCTCCCTCCTCCTCCTCCTCCTCCTCCTCCTCCTCCTCCTCCTCCTCCTCCTCCTCCGTTCTTTCTTGCCCTGGTTCCTCCTTGTTTGCCTTCATGCTGTAATGAAGACATGGCAGCTCGAGCAACCTTTGAGGATCTGAAAGATGTCGACTTCAACTTGTATTCCAACCTGCAGGTAAGAGAGGATTTCGTGCTGTGAGAATGATGCTGATGATGCTGATGCTGATGCTGCTGATGATGATGATGACTGTACTGCTGTGCATGTTATGATCTACGATGAGAGCCTGTGATCGAGAGGAAAGTGCTGGAAGTGAAAAAAAAATGACCAGACGATGCTGAATTGCGAGCCTTCACTGGTGGAAGAAACCTTCTGTCAGGTACCCCTCTCCTCCCCCTCTCGCTCTCCCCCACAGTACTCTTGCCCTCCCCATCACCACGTCCCGCTAAGTTTCTACCTCTTCCCTCCCCCCGGTGATCTTGCCTCCCAGTCCTTCTGCATCGACACCGAGTTCTTAGGCATGAGGAAGACCTACGATCTCTGCCCAGGTCCTCTGCCACCTCTTGCGAGTCTCTTCTCCCTCACTTGTCCGCAGACGGTGCGAGCATCCCCGTGACGGGAGACAACGTCTTGTCCTTCCTCGACCTCTACGTGCAGCACGTGCGGACTGATTCACATTCCTCTTGCCCCTGCTCCTCCGCCGCGTCCTCTGCCTCCCCACTTTCCCTCTCCTCCTCCCCATCTAACACCCCAGCTGTACTGCAGGTTCTGTACATCTTCTCGCGAAGAGCGATAGACTCCTTCCTCGTCGGCTTTCACTCGCTCATACCCGAGAAGAAGCTCCAGGACTTCAGCCCGCAGGAGTTGGAGGCCGTCTTGTGCGGACAGCCGACGATCAGGTGGGAACGAGGGAGTAGAGGAGGGAGGAGGGAGGATGACGCTCTTGCAAAGCGACGAGGACGTGGAAGAGCTGAGGGTCGCAAGCCACTGCAGCCTCGACGAGAACGGGGCTCCTCACAAGCAGGTCCTCTGGTTCTGGAGTATCCTCGCTCGCTTCTCCCAGGTTCTTTCCCTCCCTGCTACCTGACCCCACCCTCTCACTCCCTGCCACCTTATCCCCTCCTCTCCCTCCCTGCTGTGCCCTCCTCGCCCTCATGCTGCTGCAGGAGGAGCGCAGCCTTGTCCTTCAGTTCGTCACAGGAAACGAGAGGCCTCCCCTCACGGGCTTCCAGGCCCTTGAGCATCCCTTCACCGTCCAGGTTCGCACGTCTCATCAGTCTCCTCCTCTTACCTTCTTCCCAGCTCGGCAGCCACATGAAGCCAACGGACCTCCCGGAGGCTCATGTCTGCTTCAACCAGCTCGTGCTTCCTCCTGCTGGATCCGAAGAGGTGAGGATATCTGAGCGACGCTGCTCCTTCACTCACCTGGTTCTTCAGATTTTGCGAGAGAAGCTAAGAATCGCCGTACGCGAGGGGCGCGAGGGCTTTGAGTTGTACTAGTACTGAAAGGTTGAGAATGTTTACATGTCACAAGTCGAACAGTCGCTGCTTTCTATCTCAGTCGTACGCCGCGAACCCGTCTATCAAGCCTCAGGCTGGCACCCCGGTGACCAGGGGGGCTGCCGCCGTGCTGCAAGTTGGAACTCCCAGTGGGGCACTCGGGGCGGCAGCGACCCGTGACCGTTGTATACTTTTCTGGAGCATATTAGTACTCTGGCATCATGACTCAGCGGCGTAGCGGCATCATCAAGAACGGGAATTTCAACTTTTAGCCTTCAAGAGGGCCGTTTCACGCGGAGGCTCTAAAGGGCTCAGTTGGTAGACCATTAAGTCCCGGCCACCGTCCTTTCAGCAACTTGCGGCCCCGGCGCCCCCCGGTCGGCGTGGGCCGCGCACTGGCCGGCCGCGCGGGGCGGCCTTATTGCCCGGGCCTTAGTGGAGATGAGGGTATCAGGCGCAAACCAAATATAACCGACATGTAACGGAAGACTTATAAGCAAGGAATGGCGAGAAAGATGCTGGTGGCGACGAGCGCCATGGCGATGGTGACGGGCGTTACCTGCTGGACTCTTCCTCCAGCTGCAACGGGGATGAGACTTGCAACTGCCTCTTCTTCTGCTTCTAGATCGTACGCTGCTGCGTCACCCGAGCTGAGGACAGGAGGATTAACGTCGCTCCCTCTCCAGACGAGGAAGGGAGTCGCTTTGCGGCTGTCCGTTGGTGGGCCGCCCATGGACAAGGAGCCTCTCGACCTGACGGAAGACAACGTGCAGCAGGCGCTGGAAGAATCGAAGGAGGTGCGTCCTGCCATTCTTAGGGGCGAGGTGGTGGAGAGGGTGTGTGGTTTGTAGTGAAATGACCCTCCCCTCCTGCACGAGGCTCTTGAGGTTGCGGGGAGGCGGGAGAGAGGAGAGAGGAGAGAGGACGGCGATCCTTTTTGCCTTGTTCTCCTTGACTCGTTCCCGCAGATCCTGGGAACCATGTTTGGCAACTCGCAGGAGAACAGGGAGATCGGGATCACCGGGGACGTACAGCTAGTCAACCTAGACGGCCCCTTTGCAAGCGTGAGGCTTGTCGGAAGATTCTGGCACAAACGATCAGGCAAGCAGGAGACATCAAACGAGGGGGGGGGAGGCAGCTGGGAGGGGAGGACGGGAGAAGGGAGGGAGGTGAGGGAGGGACTTTGCTGAGTAATTTGATCTTTGTAGACGTTCTTGCCCGGGTGGAGAACTACGTCAAGACGAGAGTCCCTGAGATCGTTGAGGTCAGCATTGAGGATCCTATGCAACTCGACGGTAATATCTAGTCCCTCTCTGCTGCTGCTGCTGCTGCTGCTGCTGCTCCCTCCTGCCGCTCCCTCCTGCCGCTCCCTCCTGCTGCTCCTTCTCTCGTCGCCTCCAAACCTTCTTCGGCTCACCTTGGACTGACTCTCGTGCTAGACAATCTTCCCGAGAACCAGAAGATGTGAAGCAGCGAGCAGTAGACAGAGATGTTCAGAGACAAGAAGAGTCATCGGGAGTTGGAAGAGAGTTTGAGAGATCAGTGAGTTTGAAAATAATGAAGTTGAGCAACAACCTGTTCCTCGTCCTCGTCCTCGTTCTCGTCCTCGTTCTCGTCCTCCTCGTCCTCGTCCTCGTCCTCCTCGTCTTCCTCGTCCTCGTCCTCCTGCCCCTTACATGAAACGAGAGGAGAAAGTTTGTCTACTATCCCCGTGCTCCTCAAATGCCCTATCGCGAATCATAAATCCGTCCTAATCCGTCCTAATCCGTCCCCTCATCACTCTCCCCCTCCCTCCGTTACCTTCCACCCCCCCCCCCCTTCCCTCCTCCCGCGCTCCTCCCCCTGCGCTCCTCGCCCCTTTAGCTGCCCTACTGGCTGCCTCCTTTCCCTCCCCAGCCTCTGCACTCTTGCTCGCTCTCCCTTACCTCACCTTCTTCCTGCCCTGCTCTAAGACTTTTTGCTTCCTCCCATGCCCCTGCCCCTGCCACGATCCTCTCCGCATCGCGGCATGTTGCGGCGATGAGATGCTGCAGGGAAGGTGGAAGTTTCATGCTCCTCTGCTGTCCTCTTCCTCCTCTCTCCTCCTCTCCCTCCTCTCCCTCCTCCTCCTCCCCATCGCTCTCCTCTCCGACCCACCTGACCTCGATGCGCTCTCCTTCGACCCTCCAGTGGGGTCCATCATCCGGAGCGAGTCAGTCGAGGTGCTAGTGAAGGCACAAGAGGTTTACAAGGGGCGCGAGGACGGGCAGGGATGGCGCTGGACGCTGACGATCAACGACATGCACTCCCGCGGGCTGGGCATGAGCGCGGAGCAGGCGAGCATGTCCCTCAGCCTGCGTCATGTGGGGGAGGGAGAGCTGAAACTCACCTTCACGCTCACAGTGGAGGAGGATGTTCACGTCTCGAGGTCCGCTTTCTACATCATCAAGAAGAGATCCCAGGAGGAGGAGGAGGAGGGGGAGGGGGAGGCAGAAGGGGAGGAGGGAAGGGACGCGGACAGCACGTGTGGTCCCAGTAGCGAGCAGGAGAGGCGCGAGAAGCTGCTAGAGTGGGCGCGGGAGCACGGGATCGGGTTCGAGAAGATCTCTCTGCAGGAGGATGAGTTCGGGGGCACCGCCATGTTCGCGTCGGAGGACCTGGAGGAGGACGAGGTCATTGGTGTCGTGCCCTTCAGCATCAGCATCGGGCGCGAGTCGCTGTGGAGGAGCCGCCATGGCGAGCTGCTGGGGCAGCTCTACGAGGACGAGCGGACGCCCCCGGATCTCATCAGCTGCATCTTCCTCCTGCTGGAGAGGAGATCCTCCTCCTCCTTCTTCCGCCCCTACCTCGATATGCTTCCTACCCCCTCCGGCGTCAGCAACGTCTTTCACTGGGATGCGCATGCCCTGTCTGCCTTCTCCCCCCATGAAGAAGCGAGATCGCTCGCCGCTGCCCACCTCAGCTTGTTCGAGCGGTTGTTCTCAGTTCTCCTCCTCCTCCTCCTCCTCCTCCCAATCTTCCTTCCCTCTCCTCCTCCTCCTCCTCCTTCTCACCGTCTTCCTCCTCCCCAACTTCTTTCTCCTCCTTCCTCTCCTCTGACACCTTCTACTGTCAGCACGTACCAGCGCTACTTCACTGTAGTGAACAAGAACGAGGAGTTTCAACGTCAGTTCGGCAAGCACCAAGAAATTTTCAGTAGAGATCAGGTAAGCGCATTCTCGTCCCCTGCCCTCCCATCCTCGTGGTAGTCTTACTCCTGCTCCATGCTGGTGCTGCTGGTGCTGCTGGTGCTGCTGGTGCTGCTGGTGCTGCTGGTGCTGCTGGTGCTGCTGGTGCTGCTGGTGCTGCTGGTGCTTCTATCTCCTTCTCAATTCTGAGTGCAGGTTCTCTGGGCTTACAGTCTGCTCATCTCAAGGGCATGGGAACATCCGGACTACAACTACCGGACCAGCTTCCATCGCATGCTCCCGATCGCAGACATCGCCAACCACAAGTCTCGTTCACCCCTCTGCTCCCGAGCTCCTCCTCCTCCCTCCTCTCCTCTCCTACATTCCCCCTCCCTCTTCTTCTCTGCCCTCCTCCTCCTCCCTCTTTTGTACCCTACATTCTCCCTCCCTCCCTCCCTTTCTCCTCCTCTTGCTTCAACCTCCGGTTGATCGCATCTTGCTCGTCCTCACCATCCACACAGAATGTCACCCACGGGGTCGGGCTGGATGTCTGTTGAGTTCAGGAACCAGCAGGGTGCTGTCTTCCTCGTCACCAGGGGAGGAGCGATCCGCAGAGGGCAGGAGATCGTGACCAGGTCACCGCTGGCTTCTTCCTCCTGTGTGCTGACATCTTCCAGCTACTCCAACGCAGGCAACGCGCTGCTCCTCGTGCAGTACGGCTTCAGCTTGTGGCCCAACAAGTACCACTGCCTGCGGCTGCAGGAGGAAGGAGGAGAAGCTGGAGGAGCAGGAGCAGGAGCAGGAGCAGGAGGAGCAGGAGCAGGAGCAGGAGCAGGAAATTTCATAGCCCTTATGGCTGCAAGCCCACTGGGCCTCTGCTTCGACCCAGAGTAATCGATCTCTTGCTGGAGGAGGGCGAGGGCAAGTCTGTGACGCAGCAGCAGGCAAGAGCGCATCGTCTTCAGGCGCCTCAACAACAAGGGGCAGCCGCAGGAGGAGGCAGAGCTTGACCTGACTGCCTTCGACTTCGACAGGATGAGCACTATCAAAACGCTGTATCATCATCTCCGACGGTGACCTGCTGCTACTGATCCTTCTCCCTCTCCCCTGCCTCCTCTTCTTCCCCCTCTTCTCTGCTCTGGCTCCCTGCTCCCTTCCTGTCCCCTCCCTCCTTCTTACCCTCTTTCTCCTTCTCCAGAGTCTTGGAAAAGCGCTCGAGCGATTTGGAAGCATATGACTGGCAGCCGCAAGGAGGGGAAAAGGCTGCGAGGTCGGAGAGGTTGGAGGGGAGGTGAGGAGGTGTAGAAAACGGGGGGAGGAGGAAGCAGTAGGATTCAGCAAGGTGGAACGAAAGGAGCGAGAGGAAAGGGGGGGGAGTAGGAGGAGGAGCAGGAGGAGGAGGAGGAGCAGGTGGTGGTGGTGGTGAAGATGATGGTTTATAATGACATGAAGCAGGTTGATAGACGAAGCTCGAGAGCTGATGAGCCAGGAGATTTCAATCCTGGAGGTCGCACTCACTCAGCTGGAGGGCAGCTGGAGGAAGCTTCTCGTCCACTGACGCCCGCGGGCCGGCCAGCTGGCGATGGTTCTCAGTAAAGCACTTGACAATCCGGGAAGATCTGCTTGAAGCTGCTCGCCTGAGCCCTCGGGTCCTGCGGCAGCGTCAGGGAGGGGAGAGGCAAGAGGGCGGAGAGGAGGCGCCTGGAGCTCATTGCCGCGGATGTCCAGGACGGCGAGGTCGAGGAAAGAGCAGAGGCAGGCAGGCAGCCTCTTGAAGCGGTTGAAACTCAGGTCCAGGATACGCAGCCTGTAGAGGTCGAAGAACTCCTGCGCTGCTCCGTCACCCTCCCCGTCCCTCGCACGTCACCTCCAGCTCCAGCTGGATCTACCTCAGGCAGCCCGTCATGGTCAAGATCGTTCTGGCTGAGGTCGCAGACTTCAACCTGAGGGAGAGGTTACGAGGGGCAGGGGCAGGGGCAGGGAGAGGGGCAGGGGCAAGATCAGGGGCAGGAGCAGGTTGAAGCCACGCACCTTATTCAGCCTCCCAATCTCCGCCGGGAGCTTCTTCAGCCCCTGTCTACTCAGGTCCAGCTGGTACACGTGGCTCCTTCGACCTGTCACGCCACAGCTTCAGTACTCCTCCTCCTCCTCCTCCTCCTCCTCCTCCTCCTCCTCCTCCTCCTCCTCCTCCTCCTCCTCCTCCTCCTCCTCCTCCTCCTCCTAGCAGCAGCATGCATCACCTAGTGCCTCCTTGAGGTCCTTCCACACCACCTCCCTTCGCTCCTTCTCGTCCAACCCCCCGACCCCACACAGCAGGTCTCCTGCTGCTCCTGCCTCCTCCTCGCTCGGCGCCTCGTGGCAGTGGAGGATTCTTCTCATCTCCTGGATCAACAGACCCTCCCCTGCTGGGTCTGAGCGCTCTCGATCCGAGACATTCGCTGTCGACAAGACGCGTTCCTCCTCGTCCTCCTCCCGCTCCTCCTCTCCCGCTGTTTGTATTGCTGACTGCTTCACTTGCACCATTTCCAACCCCCCCTGCTCCCTGCTCCCTGCTCCCTGCTCCCTGCTCCCTGCTCCCTGCTCCCTGCTCCCTGCTCCCTGCTCCCTGCTCCCTGCCCTTGCCCCTCCTTGCCCCTCCCGCCTTCAAGGTCGGGTTGAGATGAAAAAGGACGGGGACAACATGGGAATGGGGAGGGGGGAGGAGTGAGGGATGGAGTGCGGGGGGGGCGGGGGGGGCGGGGGAAGGGGAGCGAGGAGATAGGCGTTTACAATGGTGGAAGGGAAGGAGAGGAGGAGCGGATGAGGAGGATGCGGAGGTTGTGAACACTATGATCGGGGTATTCGAGACGATGATATGTATGAGGAGCAGGGAGGAGCAGGGAGGAGCAGGGAGGAGCAGGGAGGAGCAGGCAGGAGCAGGGAGGAGCAGGCAGGAGCAGGCAGGAGCAGGCAGGAGCAGGGAGGAGCAGGGAGGGGCAGGCAGGAGCAGGGAGGAGCAGGGAGGAGGAAGACTGCAGAGGATTTCTCTATGTCTGTGGTGATGCTGCGGATGACATGTTGTCTTCAACATGAGGATGGGGAGGAATTTGCGGGAATATGGGTAGAAGATGCATAGTGAGAATGAATGGCAGTGACGATGCTAGTGCTGAAAGTTCAGAAGATAGTGAAGAAAAAGCTGCTGCTGATCTGATGATAAAGACGATGGTGACATCACGATGAGGAGGAGGGAGAGGAGAGGAGGAGTATGAGAGGATTAAGCTTGGAGTTGCTTCAATCAAGGTGCTTCAAGGAGAGGTGATGGAGTTATACACGTACGATCTAGATGTATTTCAGGTTACTTCCCTCACATTACCTTCCACAAACCAACAACTACAAATACAAGTACACCCCTCATCCTCCTCCTCCTCCTCTTCCTCCAGCACTTCCTCACTCCCCCATGATGTTCCTGAACGAGATATACCGCGCGTGCCCTCTCTCGCTCCTCAACAGGTAGAAGCTTCTCAGCACCATCTGCAGCTCGCAGATGTGCCAGTCCGTGTCCTCTCTCCTGGTCTCCTCCGAGGCTATCCTCAGATTCAGGGCGACATGCCTGTATCCTCCGCTCCTCACCGAGTCTGCCGTGGGGTCCAGGTTGTTCTTGATCCTCTCCACCACCACGTCCGGGTCCTGCAGGATCGCCCGCAAACACTTCGTGAGGTCGGAGACCGAGTCGAAGATGATGCACTGCCTGCAGACGTCCAGCAGGCAGGAAACGTCTCCCCCGTAGCACCTCATCACCTTCTCCACACATCGCTGGATCGACTTCACGTGCGCCCACACGTAGTCGTTCACACCACTCCCTTCCACGTACGGGCCGATGTCGTCGTCATCCTCGGGAAACCACGAGCTGGCCGCGGCCTTGTGCCGTAGCAGCCCCTTGCTCGACGACACCCAGCCCAGCGTCTTTCTCCTCAGATGGGTGTCGAGCTTCATCGCCTGCTCATACAGGTATGTGAGGCTTGTGACAGGCCGTCCTCGCTTGTCCAGTTGCCTCCACTCCGGGCTTCGCGATCTCTTCATCAAGAGATTCCCCAGTTGCCAGAACATGGGCAGCTCAGCATCTGCTTCTACCGCCGGAACATGCTTGCTTGCGAAAGGAGCCGCTATTTGCTTCAGCTCAATGAAGGAGTCCTTCCCTGACTCCTTGATAGTTTTGGACCAGATCAGATCGTACTTGTTCTTGTCGAGCTCGATGACACGGTGAGCCGACCTGGTTGTCAGCAGCCGGAACGTTTTCACCACGATAGCGAAGAAGAGCATCGGCAACCCAAGGTAGAAGCAGACGGAGGAGAAGCTATACGGCCCGAAGGTGACGAACGGGTACATGGCAAGGCCTGTCAGCAGCACATGGATGCCTCCCCATGCAATGCTGTTGCTCAGCTCGTCCGTCCAGATGAAGTAGAAGTGCACGACGTCGATGAAGGCCAGCGCAAGAGCCCGGGCACGCGAATAGCTGCCTTCGTGTGAGACGGCCAAGGTTGCCTCCAAGATGTGGATGAGGAAAGAGACCGGGTGCATGATCCGAATAAGCTTCTGGCCGACAAACTTCTTGTCGATGACACCGCAGAGCCCGGCCCCAAAGAGGATGAACCCGCAGAAGACCTTGGCGAACTGGTCGAAGTAGTAGCCGGCGTCCGGCTGGAAGACTTGGAAGACCTCGACCTCCCCTCGTCCTGTTGTGGTCTTGTAGATTCCGTCCAAAAAGATGACAAATCCTGCAAGGATGGGTGAGATGACCGACTACAGCGCTCTACAGCGCTCCAGGCTCGTGCTTCACCTGAGCAGCTCAGATAGGAGGACGACCCTGCCTGGTGCCATTGGCCGTCATGCCAGAACCAGAACTGCCAGCAGAGTCAGTCAGAAGAGACGCAGAAAAGAGTGAAGAAGGGAGGGGGGGACCTGGAATCGGACTGGATCGTGATCTGCACTTTCGTTCCATGCAGTGCGGAAAAACCACGCATCCCATCTAACTTCGTGGCTGAGAGAGATTGTGTACTCGCTCCTTTCAATCGTTTGGCTCTTCACATCAGCTCCCTGCTGCTCGATGCCTGCCAGACCATGCAAGACGCCCAGTTGCGATATACTGACCGCAGCGGGTCTTGCCAAGGGGTTGCGCTTGCTGAGTTCGACTAGTTTAAACCTCGCAGACATGGGAGGTTGCCGAGTGGACCAGCAGACGATGAAGTCCTCGAATATGGCATAGAAGCCGATCAGCATGAGGAATAGCTGCATGCTCCTCAGCGTAAGGGCAGAGGCGATTGGGTTGGAGCAGCAGAAGACACTCCCGAAGGGGACGTGCCGCATCGCCGTCTTGAGGTACTCATCTGGCGTGATTGTGTTCCTGCGCCTGCCACGGTCCTTCTCAACGCAATTGTGCATGAATTTGCGCGTGAACGTCAAGTCAGTGATGAACCTCAAGATACCGACGCAAGAAGTGACAGACTGGATCTGTGCCATTTTCCTGTTCATCTGGAGACCGAGGTACCCTTCGAGAATTCCCAGGAATCTGTTTTGACGTATCCGTTCATGTGCTCAGTAGCTGAAGCATTCTCGGAACATCCTCCTTATCTCCTTCAAGTTTGCATCTCCGAGCGCAAACTTTGTTGAGCAAACCAGCGAGACAGCCCTGGACGCTCCCTCCCTTCTGTTCTTTGTGCACCTCACAGTCCCTCTTGTTCTCCTCAACGGTCCCTCCTGCCTCCTGCCTGCGATATCTCCCTTACTCCCCTCCACTTGCTCCAGTCGCCCCTCCACTACAAGCTTTCGTTGAGCCTGCAAAAAATTCGAGCACCCTCCTCAAGAATACAGGAGGGGTCCTTTTAAAGGAAATCGAGGGGGTGTGTCTCGGAGATGGGTCTAGGGTCCGTGCAAGGATTTCTTTGAAAAAGTGCACACGGGTGGGTGGGGTGGTCCCATGGAGTAGAGCAGGTAGGGGTATACGGAACGGTTCTCGACTTGAACCGGTGTAACGTGCACAAGGTGCCTGAGAGAGGGGTGGTACGGAGAGGGTACCCACTCATAGAGGACAGTTTTCATTATAAAATGGGGGGTACGAAAGCCGATTGATGTGGTAGGGGTAAATGAGTATTTTCTGAGGGCGGGTTCAGCAGCTGGTACTGCTGGGGGTGGGGATGGGGGGCGGGGTTGCACAGTATTATTTATTATACGAATTCGGAATCGTGTTCTAATAGTATTTTTAAAGTAAGACAAGTGACTCGAAAAAATTGATTTTGACTGAAATATCTATTTCTGCCAAAACCTAAAACCTTTTTTGGAGCTGAAACGACGTCTCTCTCTTCGGTCGGATGGGCAAAATACAAGTTTTCAAGGATCACAGATGCCCCTTCGTTTTGAACAGTCATGATCAATGCGAGGCCCGGGTCCCCACGGCACCGGGCCCGCCGCACTGCTGACCGGCGGACTCCCGGAGTCCGAGCAAGCCTGGGCCCAGGGCCGGGCCCAGCGGGCCCCCGGCCGCCGCCGGCCCTGGCCGCCCGGGCCGGGCCCGGCGCACCGTGGCACCGTGCGGCCACGGCGGGCCCGTTCAAGCCGGGGCCCCGCCGGTCGGCTCGGACTCGGAGTCGGCCGGGGCCGGCCGCCCCGTGACGGTGCCCGGCCGCCACCGTGCCACCCGGTCCGTCATCTGCGCCCGGCCGGGCTCCTGGAATACTGACGGTCATGGCTCGGCCTCCGACCGGAGCGGCTCGGAACGTCCGGCCGCCGGGCGGCACGGAGGGGCCCGCCGGTCCGGATCATCCGATGGCCGTCCGGGGGCCGCCGGCCGGCTGCGGCTGCCGGCGGGGGCGGCGGTGGCCGGGTCATACCGTACTACAGTAGGCTGCCACTGAGTCACGGCCCGGTCGGTCTGAGCCGGGAGTCAGCCTCGGACCGCCGGTACCGCCCGGTGACACTGAGTGACTCAGGCTGGCCCGGCGGGCCGCGCCCCCGGCACTGCGTGGCCCCCGCCGGGCGGCCCGGCCCGCCGCGCCGCCGGGCCCCGGCCGTCCGATTTCCGAAGCGGCTGAGTTGATCGGCCCGGGTGACAGGCTCGAGTGATGTCTCAGAGCCTGTCTGCACTGTCACACTGATGATCATTTTTGCGGCACCACCGACGGTACCGGCGTCGTTGGCGGCATATCATAACAAGATCATCATCATCATCATCATCATCATTGTCGTCGTCGTCGTCGTCGTCGTCGTCGTCGTCGTCGTCGTCGTCGTCGTCGTCGTCGTCGTCGTCGTCGTCGCCGGCTTCGTCGTCGCCGGCTTCGTCGTCGTCTTCACCTTCTGGTTGTTTCTCCGTGGCAGGCAGTACGAGTTCTGAACCAGCCGAAGTTGTGCGGGAGTCCGTCTGGCATCCGACGAGTGCCAACTTGGCAAGACTGTGAGACTGCTGCAGTGCCAACTTGTTGGCTGCAGCGTCGCACTGGCCGCCCGAGTACTTCCGTACGGTACGCAGTGAGGACCGTACTTGAATCATCATTGCATTCAGTGGCATTCGGACCGTCATCGCTATCGGTCGGACTGCACATCGCCTCCGATAAGCCTGAGAAATGGATTGTTCCTGGTTGCCGAATCCATACAGCGCCAGCGGCATCATCAATGATGACAGTGACAGGCTGCCCCGGTGCATAAGTTTGCCTAAAAAGGCGGTCAAAGCATTGCTGCAGGGCAATACTACAAAAAAATCTGTGTTTTTGCATTATTTGTGATTTACTGATCTGTTGTACATTCCTAGACAAAAGCTCAGGTTTCTACCTCCTCTTGCTCTACACAAAGATGTGCTGCCCCTGCCAAGACTGCATCCTGTTCTCAGCTTCTTCATATCCCGGCTTGCCCTTGATCGCCACCTTGGAAGACGCACGGCGCTCATTGCACAAGCATCTCTGGCTTTCGAGCGTCCTCCACGGAGCCTTTTCTCGATGGTGTCGTCCCCTGAATCCCTGCTCGCATAGGACTGATCTCGGTTTGCTCTAGGATTCGTTCCTTCTTCAGCCTGGTGTGGACGGTTGGCTTCCACTGCTGTGGGCTCTAACGCCTCCGAGGCTTGAAGGGAGGAGAGAATCTGAAGCGAGAAGTCGCACATGAGATTTGCACTGTTGGTGACTGGGCTTACGCATGCCGAGGTGCCCCATAGCTCGATGAAGGCGCTGATGTCTGTTGGCATTACGAAGGCGCTGATGTCTGTTGGCATTACGATGTCGCTGCTCGTCACTGGTGGCATGGATTTGTTTGTGGTGCGAAACACAGGTGAAACTCCGTTTGTAAGCGCTGACCCAACATGATTTCGGGGACCGTGGCAATGCCATGAACATCTCGACTCAAAATCCTCCTACCGGTCAATAATCCTGGGAGTTTGACGCAACCGGTGGGGTACTTATTCCTCTGATCTCGAGATTCTGACGTGTGAGATCGAAGGGGTGTGGTTTTGAAGGTCAACGAGTAAAAAGCTCTTAGGGGAGGTTCTGTGGCTCCCTTACCTGTGGAGATGCGAGGGGCTAGAGCTGGTCTCATAGTCTCATTAGCCCGTCAGCAAGGCCACGGCTACAGCAAAGAGAGCTCAACAGAGTTCTCCGCCCCCCTACCGACGTCTTTATAAACCCCATCCTCTTTCCCTCACCTCCAACTCACTACGTAGCCCAGCTCACTCTTCTACTGTCTTGTGCAACCTACAGAGCTCCTGCAGCTCCTTTTCGTGCCCATCCACTCTCTTCCCGGCCTTGTGCTTCTTGTTTTTTCCTTTCTCGCCTCCATGACTTCTTCTTGCTACCTTCCATCCGCATGCGACGCCACCAACCTCGAGACATCAACACGGAACCCCTCAGGGCCCTCTCGCGCTAAGCAGCTCGCCTGCCTGCAGGCTTCCATCCGCCTCATCCAGTCTGGCAAGGAAGTAATGGGCGCGACGGGAGAAATGATCCAGATGAGATCGGCTGCCGTCAGCAGGAGGATAGAGGACATTGAATCAGAGGAGATGAAGGTGTAGGCTGGGGACACGAGGCAGATGGAGAAAGCACCATCCTTCTGAATGGGAATGTATGTAGAATTAGACTATACATGTATGTAGATTTTGAATAAACCTCCAGGCTTTCGAAAACGAACAAGCACAACATTTGGAGGGAAATGCTGATGAAACAGTCTAAGTGCAGAGGGCTTTGTGGAGTAGAGCAGTGAAAACATGCTTGTGTGTGATCAACGTGTTGTGGTTGTTCAGGAACTTCTCAGCCTCCAGGTGTAACACTTGGAGGATTGGGCTCACCAGACGTGAGTGTCAAAGACTGCAAACCCGCAGAGAGAGATACATGTTCGGTGTCAAAGAAAGGTTGTGATACTTTACTATTATCATCGCATGACTCAGTGACACTCGTGGCGTCACTCATCGCGAACTTGGCGCAAGTTGTTCTATGAAGTATGTAGGATCGCAAAATTGGGCAGCTATCAACATACATTTATGTACATGTTTGACAATACTCTACATACATCATCCCTGGCAACGACGGCAGGCAACCTCGGAGATCTCCAACTGCCTCGTGTCCCCAGCCTACACCTTCATCTCCTCTGATTCAATGTCCTCTATCCTCCTGCTGACGGCAGCCGATCTCATCTGGATCATTTCTCCCGTCGCGCCCATTACTTCCTTGCCAGACTGGATGAGGCGGATGGAAGCCTGCAGGCAGGCGAGCTGCAGGAGAATCGAATCAGGGGTAGAAGATCAGTCAAAAACTCTAGGGAAGAGACCGTGCTATGTCAGGAAGGATCAGGTACCAGTATCGTCCCAGAGGTACGATCCTTGAACCGTTGAACTGAGCGAAGGGGGCAAGATGGATCCTGATCCGATATCCTGTCAAGCCGTGCTGCTGACTGAAGGTACCGTGATTAGGCTGAAATCCCGGGTCCGGGATCCACCAGAGTTGACTAGTTTACTCAAGTTGACATGTCTTCACTGATCTAAGTTTACTACATAGCCTTTTGCAGTCTCACCGACTGTCACTGACCGGGGCGCCGCCGCCGCGCCTAACTGTGGCCAGCCGGGCGGCTAAACCAGCGGCGGTCCCGGCCGTGACTCGCCGCTGAGTGCCAGTCCGACTTCTTTGACTTCCGAGTTTACTTTGACATTACTTTTAGTAACTTATAGTGGCTGTTCCCGGGCCGCGCCGGGACCGGGGCCGGGCTCCCGGCCGCGCCGGGCGGCCCCCGGCCGAGACGGTGAGTCCGGTCCGGTCCGATCAGTGCCCGGCGGCCACAGGGCCGGGGCGGGACGCCCGCCCCGGCGGACTTCCGAAGCCTTGACGTCCGATCCGCCAGGCTCCGCCCGCGATCGGACGCGGCTAGATTGAGACTAGCACGACGGACGGTGGGCCGCACTGCCAGATTAGAACAACTGTTTAGTTTGTAAGAAGCCGCAGGGAAATTCGGCGGCACTGCCGCAGCTTCGCACCTTCAAGTTAGCGAGGCTCATGAAACTAAGTTAGGCTTAGCCGGGCGGTCGCCGTACCGTCACCGCACCGCCGTAGCTCAGTACGGATGCCCGCGATCCCACGGCGAGCTCAGTGCGGCAGCAGTCTCACTTAGTTCATTCCGTGTTAACATTTAGTTCGGCAAGAAGTGCCGGAACGAGCTGGACAGTAGGATGGACCATGGAACCATCGGAAGGTAATCGGACATGGACGGCGATCATCGGATGATTCGACGACCGTGTGAGCAGCACAGCAGATGCTGAGGCAGCCTAAGATTGAGCACTGAGACCAGCAGCGGCAGCGCAGAGTCACGGTCAGCAACCGAAGTCTAGCGCGAGCTTCGCCTCTCTCCTCCCGGCGTCAGTTCTGTTTGCTGGCTTGCATGAAGGCATTCATATCTGCACATCCCATCGTATGAGCCACTTGCCGACAAAGTAGACATCGCATCCAACAAAGTAGACATCGCATCCAACAAAGTAGACATCGCAGCCAACCTGAGCAGATCGTGTCTCGCTTCGAAAGGGCTTCAGGGAGCCACTCTCTCAGTTGCTCCGCTCGATTCTCGTGGGAGGGGTGGGTGTTCAGGAAAGAGATCTACAGGAAGCAGTCACGGCCTTGCCCAGCTGGCGGACTAGTCACGGCGCCAGCAGCCTAACCACCTCTGTATCCTCCAGGGCTCCTCACCTCCTTTAGGCCACGGGCGTTCGCCATCCTCCCAAACTGCTCGAAGACTCGAGGAGCAACCGACGGGTCGTAGAAGCAGGTCTTGGCCAGGATCTGCAGCCCCAGGTAGTCGGCTTCCCGCTCCAACTTCCTGCACCACCAGCTCACGCACACAGCAAGATGCGCTCGGGAGTCTGCCTGGAGTAGGGCAGCTCAGCTCCGAGGACAAACACCCAGTTTGTGATGAAGCGCGCATTGAACAGCATGCTTGAGAAGAAATCGAGCCACATGAGGCTGCGAACACAGCTCACGCGATGAAGCAGAGGGAGAGGGGGGGAGGTAAAGAGAGACCCAGAGTGAGTGAGAGTGAGAGAGGTAGAAAGAGGTAGAGGTAGAGGGAGAGGGGGGGAGAGAGGGAGGGAGAGATAGGGCAGGGAGTGAGGGGGGGAGGGAGGCAGAGAGGAAATGCTTGCAGGCAAGAAACCCCTGCACTACTGACATGTTTGCAAACGCCAGCTTTTCTGCTGCGTGCCTGATCAAGCACAACGTGTGAGTCCTGGAAGTGACAAACCCCAACTGTACCTCGCCAGGACGTGTCCAGCTTCATGCGCTAAGACAGCAGCAAGCGCGTGCTCATCATAGTTGAAGGTTTGGAGAAGACCTTCGAAGACAACCACCTTCCCTCCTGGAAGGCAAGCAGCGTTGACCTGAGGGCTTCGGATCACCTTGAACTCCCATGGCAGGTTGGGGTCCGTCGCCTGCGCTACTCTCGTCCCCACTCTTGTCACCAGCTGCGCGGCAGGGTCATTGGGAGGCAGCACCGATCCGTGCATGAGGAGACGATGAAATTGACTCCTGCCAAAGGCGATCTCTCTGTCTCTGGACATGTCTATCATCCTCCACCTGCTTTCGTCTCATTGTTCGCTAGATCGGAACAACTTTTGGTCACCTGCCGGTGTAAGGAGCCTGATCAAGGTGCACAACGTAGTAGACAACGAAGGATGCAGGAACAAGTGCGATCCATGCCGATGCCCGGAAGTTGCTTGTGTTGCTGCTTCCTGCATCCTCGCCCCTCTTGAAGTGCTTGTAACCATCGCCTTGCGGTCTCCCTGTGAACATGGAACGTGCACCCTTGTAAACCTGCCTTACTTCGATGATCCGCATGTCTCGGAGACGAGGACCAGCGCGGTAGAGAGCAGGCATGGCGGCTCCAACCTTCGCTTGCACCAGCCATGACGCCCGTCGCCCCAGGGCGGCAGCGACACCATGTCCCATGGTGAACATTTCGAAAAAACCCACAAAAACCTTGAGCGTCAGGAGCCCGCCTCAGTGGTATAGGGTTGAAAGGGATGGGCCGCATATTCCCCGCTCCTTCCTCCCCGCGTATCGCATGAGGGACCGACCTGGCGGAGACGCTGCTTGAGCGCTTCGACCTCCCTCCTGCCTCGGACTCGAGGTAGGAGTATCCTTGCCTGCCTCCCGAGTCACGCAGGAGCCTGCCTGTCTTCGGCTGATAGCTCCTGACCCACGGCACTATGCCAGAATCGAGTCCTTCGGAAGTCCTCGTCGCTCAAGAGGAGTTGGCCGTGCACATCTGTGAGGCACAGGAAAAGGTGCAGAAAGACATCATCGCAAAGATGATCTTCGATCCCAGCCCTGCACCCAGACTCCGCTTGGCAGCGGGTGGTGAAGGAGCACCGGCGTCTCCAGCGATCGAAGAGCCATTTGCGCGGGTCTCGGAATCGGCGGAGAAGCGCAATCCTCCAGGTGAAAACCAGGGCGTGCGCAGGAGAGTTGGTATTGGGTGCAACCAACGGCAGGGGCTGAAGGTTGACTCGGACCCTTTGATCTACAGTCCAGTGTCAGGGTGGGAGCAGAACGGGCGAGAAGACGAGGAGACCAACTGCTTCATCCCCTGGATTGATCTATTTCTTCCTGCATCTAGTCCATATGGATTAGACAGAAACCCGCTGGACCAAGTGAAGCCTCTCCGGGAGTGGAATTTTTGAATGTGTGTTACAACATGTGATTTGGGCAGAGGTGGTTGACTTGTGAAAATGATACACGATCTTTCGTTGTACATGCGGTTTCTTGAGATTCGTGATGAATAGAATTCCTTCTTACACTGTGAGATGGTTTTTCTTTCTTCCAAGGCGTCTCTGTTCATCTTTGCACGTTCTGAATCATTGCATTGACAAAGCTCGTTCACTCTCAGTGTCTCGTGGTCGAGCTAGGTTGAACCAGCAGGAAATCCAGGTCGGAAGGCTCTACCCGTCCGCATCCACCTTGATGCAGCAGGGCGTTCGGAGAAGTTAGAAGTGGATGATCAATCAGGCAGGGGAGGAGAAAAATTGAACTTAACGGCTGGCAAGTGCTGTCCTCACTTTCTGAGAGCATTCTTCGCGCGATATCTTTGACCCGTGTTCCAGTCTTACAACACTTGAGGGAGGTTGACACCAGGCTCCAAATCAACTCGCGAATAAAATCGAGTCGAGTCCAAAATTGTTTTGAATAAACCTCTGAAGCAATAAACTCCATCCTCGCAAAACTCACTCACATCTCAGGTTCCTATACGCTACATACCTCTTGTGCCCCTCCGTCGTCCTTAGATCCATAAACCCCTTCACCAGAAGCTGCAGCTCGCACACATGCCCCGCTACCCCCAGCTCCCTCGTCCTCTCCGTCACCACCCGTAGGTTCACCGCCACGTCTCGGTACCCCCCCGTCGTCCGCGCGTCGAAGCTCGGGTCCAGCCTGTTCTTGATCCTCATCACCACGATCTCGGGGTCTCCCAGGATCCGCTCCAGACACTCGCACAGGTCCTCGAGCTGCTCGAAGACGATGCACTGCCGCACCACGTCCAGCAGCCTCGACACGTCGTTGTTGTAGGATCGCACGAGCTTCTCCACCGCCCGGTCCACGCTCTTCATCGGCGCCCATCGGATCCGCTGCTGAAGCTCCTCGTCCTCCTTTGCCTCCCTCCACCCGATACACTCCACCAACCCTTCGCTACCTGAAGGCAGAGCCGGGAACAAGCCCCTCGACTCCTCCGCAAGCTCTTGTACCTTCTTCCGGAAGATCGGGTCGGCAAACACCGCCTGCGCGTACAGCTGGTCTAGCGACACCACCCGCGGGTCCTTGCTCAGCGGCCACACGCTCTTGCTCGGCACACGCAGGGAGAAGGAGCCGCCCTGGCTCTTCCTCAGCATCCACTCCAGCGGGCTCGACGACTCCTCTAGCGGGCTGTCGGGGTCATGCACGCGGCTCTGAGCCAGCCTGGTCGGGACTTGGACCTGCGAGACCAGCTGGCCGATGCGCTCCAGGGTCAGGCGACTGGTTTGAGAGGAAGAGAGAGACTCCCAGAGGTCGTTGTACTTGAGAAGCTCCGACTTGACGTTCTTGAAGGCTCTGTGCAGGTGGAGTTTTCTGCCTATAGTGAAGTACAACCACATCGCTATCAGGGGGAAGTTGCTCCATCCAAGATTCGATATGTCCGGAACACGCTTGTATCCATGGGTGACGAGGCTTGAAACCCCGACCGAGGTGAAGATGCTGTAGAACGGCAGGACTGTCATCATGTACTGCTCTCGAAACTCGATGACCATCCCGAAAGAAAGGTCCCCAATGCCCCATATCAAGCCGCTCCCCGTAGTCTCGTTGCCTACCGCGAAGAAGAAGATTTCAAACACTCCGACCACGTGAAACAAGGACGCGAACATCGTCTTCGGTACCCGTCGATACCCTAGCCTTGCCGTCACTACCGCCAAGATACATACAAGAGGCTGAATTATCGAGATCAAAATCGCAAGGATGCGAAACACTAGATATTGTACGTTGAAGTACATCCGTGCCCCCCTGTACGCCTCGCCTTCCTTGCACACTCCCATCCCCGGCCTCTCTCTGCACGAGAAGCTCGTCCAGTCCTTCCACGCCTTCCCCGACACACTCTCTACTTCCTCCCCGCTCCCCACCGGCCGCTCCAGTATCGAGAGGTTGAAGGCGATCGGGTCGTAGCCCGCCAGCTGCTTGTCAGGGTTGAGGCTGAAGTGCCAGCCGTTGGCCTCCGCCGGCGGAGCGAAGAAGAAGTAGAGCGTGTTGTTCACCGTCTTGGTGGACGCCGGGGATCGCTGGTTGCAGCTGTCAAGCATGAGAGAGAAGTTGGAGACGGAGGCGCTGGGAATGGAGGCGCGAGGAGCTTGATCGCGGTATTCTTGTATGTGCAATCTTGCGACGTAAACTGAAGTAGCTTTGTTCTCGAGGAATCCACTGACATTGAGGGATGCGACGTACATGTAAGTGAGAAAGCCCGCGACGGCAAGAAGAACGACCTGCGTTGTCACCTTTTGTAACGTATTTTTGACAGGGTTGGAGGAGAAGATGACGCTCGAGGTCATGGTATTCTGTATCCCAGTAACGATGTTTCGTAGCTTCTCGTCCATGATACCCCCCGGGTACTTGCCCTTGTACTTCATGAAAGAGCTCTGTGGACAATCATCACACTGCTCAAATGTCTGCATCCTTCCCTGTGCTCGGCTCAACCCTTCTTGGGTCGATTCAATTGACTCCGAAACTTGGCTCATGCTGACTTGGATGGAAACGTTTTCAACCTTGGAGCAAACCTTTTCTTTGCTCCACCATGCCCTCTCGTACCTCAGTACCTGCTTCACCCCTCGGTACCGCAGCCGCCGCTCCCGTGTCGATAGCACATGCATCCCCATCACCCCCAGCCGCAGCTCGCACACATGCCCCGCTACCCCCAGCTCCCTCGTCCTCTCCGTCACCACCCGTAGGTTCACCGCCACGTCTCGGTACCCCCCCGTCGTCCGCGCGTCGAAGCTCGGGTCCAGCCTGTTCTTGATCCTCATCACCACGATCTCGGGGTCTCCCAGGATCCGCTCCAGACACTCGCACAGGTCCTCGAGCCGCTCGAAGACGATGCACTGCCGCACCACGTCCAGCAGCCTCGACGTCTGCCCATCGCACAGGCGGAGGATCTTGTCGATGGCGCGGTCGACGTTCTTGATTCTAGGCCATTCCACGTGTCTCATCAAGATCACGTCCCCCCGGATGTCCTCCAGCCGCACGTACTCTCTCTTGTCATCCGCGCTCAGCCGTAGCGGGATCATCCCCTTGGCCTCCGCCGCAAGCCCCAGCGCCTTCTCCCTGAAGATGGGCTCTATCAGCACCGCGTGCGCGTACAGCTGGTCCAGGCTGTTGACCGGCCCCGCGGCCGATCGCTGCTCTACGACAAACGTCCCCTTTTGTACCGTCTCTGTGAGGCTTCGACCACTCCCGTAGAGCGTGTGCAGCTGCCTCAGGCTCGACCTCGCCTCAGCGTCTTCTGCCGTCTCGTCGTCTGCCCTCGCCACGCGCTCGGCCATCGTACTTGTATACTCCCTCACTTGCTTCGACAGGTGCTGGATCGCCTCCTTGCTCCTGTCTGCCAGCCCTTCCCACTCCCTACAAAACGCCGCCCGATCCCCCGCGATCATCCGCTCCCCCCGGTACACCAGCGCCCGTCGCAGCATCAAGACCATGCTCAGCACGATGATCACGATGATGCTCTGATACGACACCAACCACGCCCCTGCTGCACACGCGTACACCACGTTCGAGAGCAGCCCCAGCTCGATCGCCGACGACTCGCTGTACAGGAGCGGCCCGGGGAACAGAAGCACGTCCTGCCCAGCACCCCCGTCAGTCCCCCTCAGCCGCCTAGAGCTCGTCGCTCCCCGCCCTCCCGTACCTTGACCGCGACGAGCAGAAACAGAAACGAAGGTGTCCCAAGCATCGTCTTGTGGTAATCGCCCCGTACCTCCAGCCGAAGGAATATCAGCATGTTGCAGGCCGCGTCGAGCGCTCCGAAGAAAACAAAGATCTGGAGCCCCCCCAAGCCTCATGTCAGCTCCATGCTCCACCCCGACCTCCCGCCTGACTCACCTTGTTCACCCACTGCACTCTGTCCAAGGCTGCTCCGATCCCCGCCATCAGCAGAGCAAGCGGAGGGAAGAACCAGCTCAGCAGCTCCAGACGCGCATCCCAGCCGCACGACACGTTGCTGGGTATCGCGCGCGGCTCTAGGATGACATGCATCGAGCTGATTGATGGGAAGAAGAAGTCTTGCTGCCGGAGAGCTGCGACCTCGTATATCCTCACCACCAGCCAAGGCACGGCCACGAGCAGAGCGATGAGCTGACCGGCTCTCGAGGTCATGAAGGAAGTGATGGGCTCCCATGAGAAGACAGACAGGAGGGGATCGTGACGGTAGACGTGCCTGTCCTTCAAGGCAAGGTCCATGAAGTTACCGGGCTGCTGCGTGTAGTTGCGCACAAAAGCATCCAGAAAAGACGCGTGATTGACCTCGATGATGGTCGAAAGTGCAATTTCAGTCCTTGCATCCACGGGCGACGCCGTTTCAATATCATCATTCTGACTTGTGTTGCTCATGGTCATTTTGTAAATGATTCCATCCTTGTCATGAAACTGCTCAAGCAGTTTTGTGGCATGTCAAGGTCGTATCTTCTTCTGAAACCCCATGAAACAACTAGCATTGCTGTCTACCTGTAAAATATGTCAATGATGAAGCTCCGTTCTCGTCAGATGGTCATGATAATTCAACTTGAAGCAAGCATTCCTGTTTCCTTTCCCAATAGGGTTCTGCGCTCTTCTTGAGAGTAAGAGGCTTGTAGATGAGCAGGCAAGACAAGTTTGTCCACAAATAATTCTAACACCCTGATGCGATGAGCTCGTTCCTTTTCGTTCTTTCAATCCCCTCCCCTGTTTCCACCCTCTGAGTATCTTCTCGCAGTGGTGCCAAACAGCTCCACTTGACCCTTCTCAACGCATCTTCTCGCATCCTCTCTTCACAAGTTCCTCGCCTCGCCTCGCCTCTCCTCTCCTCTCCTCTCCTCGCCTCGCCTCGCCTCGCCTCGCCTCGCCTCGCCTCGCCTCTCCCCTCCCCTCCCCTCCCCTCCCCTCCTCTCCTCTCCTCTCCTCTCCTCTCCTCTCCTCTCCTCTCCTCTCCTCTTTTCTTCTCTTATCTCATTTCCATCCTAATTCATTCTGCATCAGCGCTGGCTATGGTCGACTCTCATTGCGATCATCCCGTCAAGCCCCCAACCCCTCATCTTCTGTTCCACACCACTGTGCACTTCGGTATCACCGGTACTTTTCCCCTTCCAGAGATGGGGTATAGGGTGAAGCTTTACTAGAGGTCAGCAAGGGCCAGACCACGGGTACTTTAGTCTATATTTTGCGGGGGTGGAGGGAAAAATATCAATTTATTGGAAACGGCGGTACAAACAAATTAGTTTTAAGGGGTTCCGCCGTACCAGTCAGAGCGGGGGAATATCATTCTAAAACCCCATTTATAAAATGTAAACCAATGGGCCCCACGTGATCCAGTCACGGCTCCGGTACCAACTTTCCTTTTTACTCAACATCGATCACAGTACAGCTGTTCGAAGTGACTGAAGTTTTTACTCACCGCTCCCAACCTGGAGGGGGTAGACAAAAAGGCGAACCTTCTACGTTCTGAAAGTGCAAAGTACCCGTCCGGATGTGGGAAAAGGCTCTGTGAGAAACGGGTGGGGTCATTACACGGTAAATCATCGTAGTGCCGCAAGGGGGGAACAGGGGTAGTCGCCGGAAGAGGGTCGTATCTAACATGGTCAGGTGACAATTGCGGCAACATGGCCATGAAGCAACAGCAGCTCTGATGTCAGCAAGTGTCATAGCTGGCGAGAGGGAGCATGGTTGCAGACAACTTGATCCGATCTCACATGAGCATAACGACCTTCGTATGACCCAGGATCCAGAAAGGCTCGAGCCCCTGAATGAATCAGGCTGCGACCTTTCAATCGAAATCGCGGACAGGTTTGAAAGCGAAACGTCCTCTCACGATGATTTCATCGAGAGATCTGGCACTAGAGACTACAACTTCATATTCTCATTGCTACCAGGCTCGACAGGAGAAGATTCTTTCAGTTGGAGACGAACCTATGCTTACACATACACGCAGCAGCCCGGTAACTTCATGGACCTTGCTTGGAGGGACAGGCACGTCTACCGACACGATCCCCTCCTGTCTGTCTTCTCATGGGAGCCTATCACTTCCTTCATGACCTCGAGAGCCGGTCAGCTCATCGCTCTGCTCGTGGCCGTGCCTTGGCTGGTGGTGAGGATATACGAGGTCGCAGCTCTCCGGCAGCAAGACTTCTTCTTCCCATCAATCAGCTCGATGCATGTCATCCTAGAGCCGCGCGCGATACCCAGCAACGTGTCGTGCGGCTGGGATGCGCGTCTGGAGCTGCTGAGCTGGTTCTTCCCTCCGCTTGCTCTGCTGATGGCGGGGATCGGAGCAGCCTTGGACAGAGTGCAGTGGGTGAACAAGGTGAGTCAGGCGGGAGGTCGGGGTGGAGCATGGAGCTGACATGAGGCTTGGGGGGGCTCCAGATCTTTGTCTTCTTCGGAGCGCTCGACGCGGCCTGCAACATGCTGATATTCCTTCGGCTGGAGGTACGGGGCGATTACCACAAGACGATGCTTGGGACACCTTCGTTTCTGTTTCTGCTCGTCGCGGTCAAGGTACGGGAGGGCGGGGAGCGACGAGCTCCAGGCGGCTGAGGGGGACTGACGGGGGTGCTGGGCAGGACGTGCTTCTGTTCCCCGGGCCGCTCCTGTACAGCGAGTCGTCGGCGATCGAGCTGGGGCTGCTCTCGAACGTGGTGTACGCGTGTGCAGCAGGGGCGTGGTTGGTGTCGTATCAGAGCATCATCGTGATCATCGTGCTGAGCATGGTCTTGATGCTGCGACGGGCGCTGGTGTACCGGGGGGAGCGGATGATCGCGGGGGATCGGGCGGCGTTTTGTAGGGAGTGGGAAGGGCTGGCAGACAGGAGCAAGGAGGCGATCCAGCACCTGTCGAAGCAAGTCAGGGAGTATGCAAGTACGATGGCCGAGCGCGTGGCGAGGGCAGACGACGAGACGGCAGGAGACGCTGAGGCGAGGTCGAGCCTGAGGCAGCTGCACACGCTCTACGGGAGCGGTCGAAGCCTCACAGAGACGGTACAAAAGGGGACGTTTGTTGTAGAGCAGCGATCGGCCGCGGGGCCGGTCAACAGCCTGGACCAGCTGTACGCTCACGCGGTGCTGATAGAGCCCATCTTCAGGGAGAAGGCGCTGGGGCTTGCGGCGGAGGCCAAGGGGATGATCCCGCTACGGCTGAGCGCGGATGACAAGAGAGAGTACGTGCGGCTGGAGGACATCCGGGGGGACGTGAGCTTGATGAGGCACGTGGAATGGCCTAGAATCAAGAACGTCGACCGCGCCATCGACAAGATCCTCCGCCTGTGCGATGGGCAGACGTCGAGGCTGCTGGACGTGGTGCGGCAGTGCATCGTCTTCGAGCGGCTCGAGGACCTGTGCGAGTGTCTGGAGCGGATCCTGGGAGACCCCGAGATCGTGGTGATGAGGATCAAGAACAGGCTGGACCCGAGCTTCGACGCGCGGACGACGGGAGGGTACCGAGACGTGGCGGTGAACCTACGGGTGGTGACGGAGAGGACGAGGGAGCTGGGGGTAGCGGGGCACGTTTGCGAGCTGCGGCTGGGGGTGATGGGGATGCATGTGCTATCGACACGGGAGCGGCGGCTGCGGTACCGAGGGGTGAAGCAGGTACTGAGGTACGAGAGGGCATGGTTGGCAAAGCGTGGTACTTGGTCAATGTCGGAGCTGGTAGAGGAAACGAAACTTTCATCAATCCAAGTCAGCATGAGCCAAGTGTCTGCGTCGTTTGTTTGGAGTCAAGAGGGAATAACGCAGTCCGAAGCGATAATACAGATGTATGAAGCTTCCACTGAATGCCCACAGAGCTCTTTCATGAAGTACAAGGGCAAGTACCCGGGGGGTATCATGGACGAGAAGCTACGAAACATCGTCACCGGGATACAGAATACCATGACCTCGAGCGTCATCTTCTCCTCCAACCCTGTCAAAAATACGTTACAAAAGGTGACAACGCAGGTCGTTCTTCTTGCCGTCGCGGGCTTTCTCACTTACATGTACGTCGCATCCCTCAATGTCAGTGGATTCCTCGAGAACAAAGCTACTTCAGTTTACGTCGCAAGATTGCACATACAAGAATACCGCGATCAAGCTCCTCGCGCCTCCGTTCCCAGCGCCTCCGTCTCCAACTTCTCTCTCATGCTTGACAGCTGCAACCAGCGATCTCCGGCGTCCACCAAGACGGTGAACAACACGCTCTACTTCTTCTTCGCTCCGCCGGCGGAGGCCAACGGCTGGCACTTCAGCCTCAACCCTGACAAGCAGCTGGCGAGCTACGACCCGATCGCCTTCAACCTCTCGATACTGGAGCGGCCGGTGGGGAGCGGGGAGGAAGTAGAGAGTGTGTCGGGGAAGGCGTGGAAGGACTGGACGAGCTTCTCGTGCAGAGAGAGGCCGGGGATGGGAGTGTGCAAGGAGGGCGAGGCGTACAGGGGGGCTCGGATGTACTTCAACGTACAATATCTAGTGTTTCGCATCCTTGCGATTTTGATCTCGATAATTCAGCCTCTTGTATGTATCTTGGCGGTAGTGACGGCAAGGCTAGGGTATCGACGGGTACCGAAGACGATGTTCGCGTCCTTGTTTCACGTGGTCGGAGTGTTTGAAATCTTCTTCTTTGCGGTAGGCAACGAGACTACGGGGAGCGGCTTGATATGGGGCATTGGGGACCTTTCTTTCGGGATGGTCATCGAGTTTCGAGAGCAGTACATGATGACAGTCTTGCCGTTCTACAGCATCTTCACCTCGGTCGGGGTTTCAAGCCTCGTCACCCATGGATACAAGCGTGTTCCGGACATATCCAATCTTGGATGGAGCAACTTCCCCCTGATAGCGATGTGGTTGTACTTCACTATAGGCAGAAAACTCCACCTGCACAGAGCCTTCAAGAACGTCAAGTCGGAGCTTCTCAAGTACAACGACCTCTGGGAGTCTCTCTCTTCCTCTCAAAACAGCCGCCTGACCCTGGAGCGCATCGGCCAGCTGGTCTCGCAGGTCCAAGTGCCGACCAGGCTGGCTCAGAGCCGCGTGCATGACCCCGACAGCCCGCTAGAGGAGTCGTCGAGCCCGCTGGAGTGGATGCTGAGGAGGAGCCAGGGCGGGTCCTCCTCGCTGCGTGTGCCGAGCAAGAGTGTGTGGCCGCTGAGCAAGGACCCGCGGGTGGTGTCGCTAGACCAGCTGTACGCGCAGGCGGTGTTTGCCGACCCGATCTTCCGGAAGAAGGTACAGGAGCTGGCGGAGGAGTCGAGGGGCTTGTTCCCGGCTCTGCCTTCAGGTAGCGAAGAGTCGGTGGAGTGTATCGGGTGGAGGGAGGCAAAGGAGGACGAGGAGCTTCAGCAGCGGATCCGATGGGCGCCGATGAAGAGCGTGGACCGGGCGGTGGAGAAGCTCGTGCGATCCTACAACAACGACGTGTCGAGGCTGCTGGACGTGGTGCGGCAGTGCATCGTCTTCGAGCGGCTCGAGGACCTGTGCGAGTGTCTGGAGCGGATCCTGGGAGACCCCGAGATCGTGGTGATGAGGATCAAGAACAGGCTGGACCCGAGCTTCGACGCGCGGACGACGGGGGGGTACAGGGACGTACTTGTGAATCTACGGGTGGTGACGGAGAGGACGAGGGAGCTGGGGGTAGCGGGGCACGTGTGCGAGCTGCAGCTTCTGGTGAAGGGGTTTATGGATCTAAGGACGACGGAGGGGCACAAGAGGTATGTAGCGTATAGGAACCTGAGATGTGAGTAGGCAAGTTTGGGTGAATAGTCCTTCAAGTATGTATGTCAGGTAATGAATCAGTGAGTTAATGTACTTGATCGTCACAGTGAACTTGTGACTCGGAACGCCGGCACCGCCGCGCACCAGTCAGTCCCGTGACTCCTTGCCGCCGCGCAGGCCGGGCGGCCCCGCGCTTCAACCCGGCCCGGACTCGGGAACCGGGAACCGGGTGCCGGCCCGGTTACCCTCATCCCCATCTCAACCCTTGACTCCTCTTGCCATGCTGTCGGGCACTTTGATTGAGTTTAGGATGCCCGCGAGCGCGCGGGAGGGAGAGCATGGAAGAAGAAGGACATGGAACGTGAGGAGGAAGAGGAAGGGAAGGAAGCAGGCAGGGGAAGAGAAGGAAGAGAAGTGTGAGAACAGGGTGGTCAACAATGAAGGAACAGGGCAGTTCGACACGTCAGGGGAGTGAGCGGAGCATGGGAGGTGGGTAGGGTCCTCGTAGCTGAGGAATCAGCGAAAGAGCCATATGAAGTAGAGGAGAAGGGGACTAGACCTTTACAGGAGCACGAAGGAGCGAGGCAGCTCGATCGTTGGACGAAGCGGGAAGATATAGTTGCCCAGAGTTCTTGCTGACGGTCAGTTTCAGCCAGGGAGGAAGACGGCTAAAAATGGCGGAAATGAGCTTCGGCAACCGGCGAAGCACTGTACTCGTGATCTCTGATTGACCTGACTTATCTGAGCTTGGCGATCAGGCCTACCGACGCAGCGAAGAAGGAATGCCGTCGTTCAACCCTGTAGCTTTCTTTCAGGTCCGTACGTTGTCAGCCGGGCATGCCGAGCCTGAGTTTGATTCCGCAGGGATGTATAGCGTCAAGGCCCGATACTCTGCATGTAAGACTCGGAGCGGGGCTCAGTCTCCACATGGTGAAGTTTTTCGTGCTAGGACAAGGCTCCGCTTGTCGTCGACTTCCCCGACAGGCCTTCGAAGATGCTTGCTGCTGTTCTTCCAGTGAGATCGCGCGAGCAGCCAGCTGAGTGACTTGATCTCCTCACCCCCTGCTTGCAGGACTACGGCTCAGCCAAGAGGTTCAAAGTTCAGGTTTGACCAGCTACAAGTCGGTTGGCCACTGACCGTCCGGTAGATGGTCGACCTGCCTCGCCTCCCAATGGGCAAGCTGAAGTCGACTGAGGTCTTGCCATGGCAGCTCGCGTCCTCTACAGGCGTGACCGCTCCTCAGGTGCTGGTAGAGGTGCATGCGGCTGGTGTGAACCCAACGGACTGGAAGCAACGGAAGGTCAGTGCTATGTACAGTGATTGGTGGAAGGGAGGGAGCGTACAGGGAGCGGACGATCAAGCTCGGAGGAGACGGAGAGTGAGAGGACGATGATGCTTGTTGGTGGCAGGGAACTCTTTCGCAGATCTTTCCTCTCACCCTCCCCTGCATCCTGGGCATCGATTTCAGTGGCAGGGTAGTGCGTGCTGGGGAGGATGCTTCTTTCTCCGAGGGAGACGAGGTGTTTGGGCGGCAGACCCTCCACCGTATGACGGAGCTCAATGGCAGCTATGCTGAGTACTGCATCGTAGATAGTCAGGACATCTTCCACAAGCCAGAGAACCTGAGCCACAAGGAGGCTGCCGGGGTGCCGCACGCTTGCCTAGCTGCGTACGCGTGTCTAGCACGAATCGGAAAGCTGCTGGAGAAGAGGACAGCGATCGACAAGGCTGTCTTCATCCTCGGAGGCAGCGGAGGCGTCGGGACGTTCGCGGTCCAGCTCGCGAAGCATCACTTCGGGTGTTACGTCATCGCAAGCTCCTCCTCCAAGAATGCCGAGCTGCTGCGATCGCTGGGAGCTGACGAGGTGCTGGACTACGAGGACCCCGCATTCCTCAAGAGTATGGGGTACACCAAGGTCGATGCGATTGTGGATTGTGTGGGAGGAGACGACTACTGGGTGGCGTTCAAGCCGAGCCTCAAGGCGGATGGAGTCTACGTGACGCTGGTGGGGAGTGAGAGGCATTTAGCTAACGACAAGAGCATCGACTACACATTAGCCTTGCAGATTCAGGCGGATTATTTCATGCGGCAAATCTCCAACAGGATAGGAGCTGCACAGAACTACCACATCCTGACCGGATCGCAGCTGCAGAGCAGCGACCTGAAGATCATCGCGAGCCTGTTGGAGGAGGGGACGCTCAAGGTGGTCCAAGAGAAAAGCTTCTCCCTCTATGACATCGCGCTTGCGCATGAGCTGTCGGAGACTCGCCATGCAGTCGGGAAGATTGTGATCGAGATCCGAGCAGAGGAGGAGGGGAGGAAGAAGTCGGAGGAGGCGGAGAAGGGGGCGAGCGTGGGGGCATCCAAGACGAACTCCAAGACATCCAAGGTCAAGTTCAACCCAACGAGCGTCCCTGAGCATGATTCAGAGGATGAGTTTGAAGAGTTTCGCCCTCCTCCTCTTCCGCAGCAGCAGCAGCAGCAGCAAGAGGAAGAAGAGCAGCAGAACTTTTACGGAGCCCCCGGGATGATGTGGAGCCAAGGCCGGGAGCTGGAGAGGAAGCAGGCTTCCGCTGCTGCTCCTCCCGAGCTTGCGCCAAGCTCGGCTCATGATCGGATGTCAGGAACGAGCTTGCGGCAGCCTGACACAGGATCTGCCTTGAAGATGCGGCTAGAATCACTTCAGCGAGAGGTAAATGATGGAGGGAGGGGGGAGGAGGAGGAAGGGAAGGGGAAGGGAGGGAGGGAGGGAGGAGGAGGAGGAGGAGGAGGAGGAGGAGGAGAGGAATGGGGAGTAGGAGGAAGAGATTTGTTGACAAAAGGCAAAAGGTCTTTGAATCGACGAAGAGGGTTCAAGACCTCAAGAAGCAGACGCTCTTGTCCTCCGCCAAGGCTGATGAGACTCTCGGACACTTTCCTTCTGCCGCCGCAGAGAGCAACGGGAGCGTCTCGAAGCCCATCCTGAGGCAGAAATTTCGCGCGGAGGAAGAGGACGAGCAGGAGAAAGAGAGCGAGAGGATGAGGGAAGATGGGGTCTACAGCTCGGACGTGAACAGGAGAGAAAACGGTCATTCCCTGGTGCAGAAAGCTCAAGCGTTGAACCTGAGGGAGGAGCGAGTAAGTTCGGAGGGAGCAGAGTGGCGGGAAGGGTCTTAAAAAGCAGGAGGAGGAAGGGGGGGAGTGGTGGTGGGAAGGACCAGGAACAGGAGGAAGGGGACGAGGAAATTTTCACTAGGTTGCACAGGTATTGGAGCCCAAGGGAAGGGCAAGAGACCTCGAGGTTGGTTGCATGAAATGACAAGCGAAAATGCTGCGAATGAGGAGAGGGTGATTGTAGTTCAATGGCGTTATCGGTGCTGCTGGTGCTGCTGTATTCATTTGATGATGATGATGATGATGATGATGATGATGATGATGATGATGATGATGATGATGATGGCATTGTCTTGTCCAATTCGACAAATCAAAAGTGCTTGCCATGGACATAATCTTTCTCACCATCCTCGTTGCTTGCTGGTTCTCCTCCGTCATCCTGTGACCAACTGCTTACCCTACAGAACCCCGTCCACATGCTTGTGAGCCGACAAGGAGCTCCTACTTTACCTCGAGAGGAGGAAGAGGAGGAGGAGGAGGAGAGGATTGAGAAGCAGGAGGCAGCTCCTGTCCGCAAGAGGAACGGGAAGAGGGTTGAGGTGCAGCCCATCCCGGAAATTTCTATCTTGCGCAGCAATCAGCAGCAAGAGGAGGAAGAGGAGGAGGAAGGGAAGGAGGAGGGCGGGGGTCATGAGCACCAGTTCTCATCCTCATTCCTGGATTACCATGCTCTTGCTCAGCGGCAAGCGGAGGAAATGCGATTGAGGACGATGCAAATGAACGTCAAGTCTCGTGAAGGGGACGAGGACGAGGACGAGGACGAGGAGGACGAGAGGAGGAGGATGGAGGACCCCAGGCTGCGAGTGAGCTGGCGAGATGAAGAGCGGACTGCCTCGCAGGCGAAGCGCGAGCAGGCAGTGCAGCGACTGAGGGAGATGATGGGCGAGGAGGAGCTGCCGGCGGTGAGTGGAAAGCTCGTCGGCTGCTGAGCGCCTGACTTTTCTTGCAGCCACCCGAGTTTGGCGGGAGAGAGCAGCTGGGAAAACCTCCGTCGATCCTGAGAGACTCGGTCTTGGTGGGGCGAGGAGAGGAGGGGAGAGGAGAAGAGTGGGGAGGGGAGGGGAGGAAGCCCTTTCCGCAGCCTGAGGTTGAGGAGGAGACGATGGGTCGCTCGAGCTTTGCTGGTTGGCCTCTTCCCTTCCCCTCTCCTCTCCTTAAAAAGGTATATATCATGCGTCTCAACCTGCTGATACTGGAGAGCAGGTTGGAGACAGGACTGGGGAAGGGCAGGATGTTCGAGCCTCCTAAGCAGGAGGAGG